GGGGTTCACGGCCTGGGGCCGGCCATGAAGTGTGTCATTGGGGGGGCCCACCTCAGAGGTACCCGTGGATTGGGGGAGGCGGAGGAGTGCGTGTGGGAGAATCGGGCCCCCATGGGCTTCCCCGTGGGGGCTCCCATGCAGTGCGGAGTGGGGCACGTAGCACCGGGAGCCATGGTCACAGCAGAGCTGAGGCTTTGCACCTTCCTCATCCCCAGGGGGATGAAGGCGTGTTTGTGGAGAACAGAACGTCGTTCAGATCAGAGAGCTGAGGGCTGGAGCTGGGGCACTTCCAGGTGGAGAAGCCATTGCTTAGCTCACCGTTCCTCTGCCAGAGGCCCCGTTGCAGCTTCCACACGCAGCATTTTGTGCACAAAGCTGCTCTGCCAGTGCTAGGGCAAGCAGAGGCGAATTTTGAGACCCGCTGCTGGTTTCTTCTCAGTTTCCTAGGGCTACATCTTTACAGGTGCTCACCCGCTTACTGCGTGCTCAGATTTCTTGCCATCTACACAATGTAATTGCTAACTTCAGTGGTGTTTTGTCCAATTAGTGAATGAATTAATTTGCTGTGCCATCAGGCCATGCCGGTTGCTGCAAAGGGACAGATGACATTTGGGGTACGCCTCATTGGAGGCAACTTTCAAAAACATCGAGGTGTTTGTGTAACTAAAAAGGAAAGTGTAATGTTTTCCACTGTGTCCTCAATTTTCTTTGAGACGTGTAGGAAATTTGTAATGTTTCCTCTTGAACTATTCTGAAGAAAACACAGTACAACTTTTTTTTTAACTTAGAATGCATATTGCACTCTTCTCTTTTCCTGCTAGTGTTTGGGAGAGCCATATGTGCCATCGCACGTATTAGCGATGAATTCTGGTTTGACCCCACAGAAAAAGGTGTAAGTAAACTTGATTTACTGTAATTTTAAAATCTTTCTTGGAAGCATAGTATTTCTGGTTTTGGCTGTTGTGGTGTTTTCCTACAGGCACCCTTCAGTCTGAGTTACGTTCTCTCTCAGCTCCCTCCACTTTCAGTATGGACAAATGCCATATTTTCTGTAATTGTAATTATGCAGATTTCATCATGGAAGATTCAGTCGTGCTCTGCCCCTAGTGTTCTTTGGGTTTTTGTTACCCAAGCTGAAGCTTGTCCAGGACATCTGGATTAATACAACGGGTTTTATTTCTGCTGTCATGGGTCAAGAGGGTTAGGTTTTGTACCACATCAGAAGCTGCCTGTACACAACATGTTTTCGTACCGCTATGACTCAACAGGAAGAATGCATCCATTAATATGCCTCCGCTTAATCAAACACCATTTCCAGGATTAATCAAACACCATTTCCAGCAGAATTAAGGTTTTCTCTAGAGGTTTCTTAGTTAAAAGCGATCACCTCTCCTTAACTTGGTGGGAGGCTGGAAAATCAGAAGTGGAGATAATTTCTTTTTATACCTGAAGAATTTTTGAGGTGCTGGTGATGCCTTTGCTCATCTGTACGTACCGTGTGGATGGGTGTGCAGGAAGATCATTTCAGAATAAACTCCAATCCTGCAAGTGCCTCAAACGCAAGCTGAGCTTTAAGTGTTTTGGTAACTCACACTTCAGGGCCACTTCGGTGTCTGTAGGTCGGATTCCTGTGCCTGTGTTACACCAGTGACTTCTGACCAGTAATGATGAAGGTGAGAAGTTTGAAGATGTTTATCTGCATGATGCACCTATATTTATTTGGAGGTGTACACATTTAAAGGTTTTCTGGCTTAGGTATGGTACTAAAGCGCAGAGATGGCTTTTTTGTTAAAGGTTCGCTATGAAATAGTTTTGAGTTAATAAATTATTTTATGTATCTTTTCAGCTTGCCTTAAGATCAGTGAATTCTTCAAGGTCAGCATATGCCTGTGTCTTCTTCTCATCTATGTTTTTTCAACATTACTGCTGGACAGCTGTGTCTCAACCACGTCAGAAGGAAAAACAGTTATCCCTTCCGTGTAAATTGATAATTAAGGTACATTTTAATGGATTGTTATGCACAGCTTTGGAAGCAGCAAATTAGCCCAATTCCCAAATGAAATTACAGGGGGAGGCTCATACAGGAATGTGGACAGCTCTCAGCTCGAGCGTTTCTGAGCAATGCTGCAAATGAGAGCGTTGGTATTTAATTGTGTTTAGAAGTTGTACCTCTCGAGCTGCGCCCTGCGGTTTGCAAAGTCTGGACCAGCTCAGTCTCGGGGTGAAGGCATAGTGCGTTTGTGCCTCTGGAGTGTTTCTCCTGTAGCCTGCAGAAGCGGTGTGAGGCCAGAGAGCTCTGGCCAGCTGGTCAGCAAACGGGCCTGTGGGCCATGTACTGGGTGAGGATGGCGAGGATCAGTACCGGCTGCCTCGGTGTCCACTTACAAAGCGGTTTGGGGAAGCCATAAAAGCAGGAGCTTGAAACAAACTGCACAAAAGTCAGGAATTAACATTGCGAAATTGCTTGGTGAGTAACCTCTGCACTGATTTTTTTTTGTTTTTTTTTTAACAGTCAGTTCTTCCTGTATTTAGATGCGTACATGTGCTGCAAAGGAATGTAGAGAAATGCAGCATTTATACAAATATTAAGGATCATTACATAACTTTTCAGCTCCTCTGCAAACATGGTAGGTTACACACATAAAGTGACTTTACAGAAACACTTTAAAACAGCCGGGCAACTTAATATTTAGTATAATTATTAACTGAATGTTATTGGTGGAACATTATGCGAAACACTTGCAGCCTCTTCACATCATGATTTATATATATATATTTATCACAGACACCACCTTGTTAAAATTAAGTTATAATGGGATCTATCAGACGAACATTCTTCAGTAGTTATGCATGCTATATGTTAATTGGCAGTCTACTGCCTACAACAGTTAGAATTAGGCTGGAGTAAATTCAGAAAAAAGCACCTGTTATGGAAAGGGAGGGAGATCCTGTTTTGCCAGGTGTTTGAACTAGAGGATTCACTGGCTCTTTCCACTTCTGGTACTTAGAGTTCCCCTCCACGGTAACAGGTCTGCCACCCTCAGTCCAGCAGAACACCAGGTATATTCATCAGCATTGGTCTTTGTGAAACTCATAAAGACCCATCATCCATCAGCATAGCTTGCTGAGCTGCGCTGTGCGACAGGCAGTGGTTTATATTATTAAAAATCTGGCTTGTATTAATAATAATGAGAGAATATATTGAATTAGGTCTCACGACAATTACGCTCACTTAGCTCACGCTTATCTAGAAATACGTAGAGGTCTGTAGCGTTTGCCTGATGCATTCCACCACCATTTATATTATTATGCTAGTTAAATGTTGAAGCCATTTTTCCCCTGCAGTTGTTGCACTTGTTGCTGTTCACTTATTTCTTGTGGGTTCTTAAAAAATGCAGCTGCTGAAGAGGCATAACTAACAGGATGAAGGAAGTCTTAGATGGCAGGTTAATTCGGTTTGCGATTTGTTGGTGAGTTATTTCCACGCAGCTAGAGTGAGTCACTTGGTTACTTTATTGAGAATTTCTAAAAGAATAATTAATACTGAAAAAAACCATTGAAAGTTACAGACCAGCACTGATTTTTGTTCATATCCTTTGTACTTAGGTGTTGTAAAGACATATAATCTGACTTTTCAAGAATGTGATCCGTTGCAGGCTGTTTTTGCAAAGCACCTGTGTCCAAACATACTTAAAGTCCACTCCAGGTAATGAACACAAATCAAATTTTCTGGGGAAAAAAAAAATCATACTGCAGGCAATAGTGCTCTCATAGTCATTAACAGAGTCAGAATCTGATTAGGGCACAGTCAAAAATGGCAAACTCCTAAATCCTGTGTCCTGGCGCTTGATTTTTCACACTACAGCTGGAGAAATTTGGATCATTCTGCCATTAATCAGTCTGACCTTGAGAAAAGTGTGATCTATCATTTGAATTCACAGCTTTGAGCAACTTTCACCTACGACAAATAAAGCAGTGCTTTCATTTTATAGACAAAGAATCCAGTGGTACAAGTGCAATTTTTTTAATGCAAAGTTCTGCTTTGAAAAGCAGCCCCTTGGAAGAATCCTGGGTTTGGCTTGTCCTGGCAAGCACAGGCAGCGAACAGTCAGACCGCACTGTTCCTGACAGCGTTGCTGTTGGAAGCGTTCCTTGCGCACAGGAGCTCTTGTCCCAGTGACCAGCCCTTAGAGGGGTATAAAGATATCTCTGTACAGGTGCTATGTGTTGTGTTCAGAAAAGATTACGCAACTTTTAAAACCATGAGCTTTTGAATAAAGAGTATACGGTGCTGGGGTTTGCTCAAAATTGTGATAAATGCACGCAGAAAGGTGGCAGCAATGTCTGTGGATGTGAGACTGATTTGGCAGCATACATAGGCATTAAATAGAAACAAATGTTGCTTTCCTAATTCCTAGTTGCATTTTTAGATTTCTTATGTACTTACTGCTGTATAAATCAATTTAAAAGGTCCAGCACACTTTCAGGGGTGCGCATCTCAAAGGCAGTTTGACCAACAGTGTCACCAAGTAACAACTTTCGGCTTTAATGTGAGTGACAAATGCTAGCTAGTAATTTGTGGCATGTGCAATTGTTTGAATGTTGAATGCACTTTCCTAGGCTGCTGGCTGAGATAATGATTCACTTTCCGACCAGCCAAGAAGAAGTAACCTTATCAGTTACGCCACTGACAGTTTGTTTCAAGAGTTACACTGAGGAAGACACCGGTAAGGAAGTTCAGATTATGAAACAATATTGGGACTTTAAAACAGGTGAACTAAAGGAATAATAACTTTTGCAACATCAAGGGAGAATGCGTTTTATGGCTGAATGAGACTTTTAAGAGAGGGAACGTACACAGAGCCAGTTCAAGTCACACTGTGGCCCTCTGGTTTTAATGGATTTTAAGAACGTATGGTTTTAATAACATTTTCCCAGTATCGGTGGCAGGTATCAGGCTGAGCAGCCAGTTGAAGTCAATTACGCCATTGCTGGAGGTTTGAGCAGGGGTAATTACTGCGCTGCAAGAGCAGCAGCATGGCAACAGACAGGAAAAAGGAGATAATTTTATATTTTAAAAAGAACTATTTAAATCTGAATACCATAATTGTAGAATTGATACCATTACGGAGTATATTTTAGGCTAAGGGCAGTACAGCACGTGAGGTGGCCTAACGCTGTGCTGCTGCGCACTGCTGTTTTCAGCTCTCCGTCCAAGATGGAGAGCAATCCAGATTCTTGGGGTGTGACTCAGACTAATTTTAAAGATATAATTGTGTTTTTGAAGTACAGGTTCTTGCATATCATATAATAAAAGGATGCTTTTCATACTTGCTTATGACCAAAGCTGAGGATAATGACCTAGAAAAAGATGAGTGCTCAGAGCCCGGGTGGGGATTGTGCTGAGCAGTGGTGAGCGAGAAGAATTAAGTGGTGGAAAGTGGAGTGAAACAGGGGAGGAAATTACTGAAAACAAAAAGACACTAAAAAGAGTACAGTTTGAATGACAAATTCTGTTAGTTTAGAAACATACACTTGTAAGGGTCACTGTAAGAAAGAAAGTGAAAAAATAGTAGGTAAACGAGATGCCAAAAAACCAAACAGTCAAGGAGAAAAAGGAGGAATCACAAGCGTTGCTCTTGCCACGTAGCATGTGGTGCCTGCAGCAAGTGTTCTGCCTGCACTGAAACGAACCGGGCCCTTCGAGCATTTTGTCTGGCGAGGGCTTGGGTTTTCCCACATTCAGGTTTAATTTTCAAACAAAGAAATTACACCTTCTGCCCGGACTTGCTTTTGTTTGCAGGCGGTAGGCTCTGCCTTGTAGCAGCTGGCAAGCTCCAGGTTTCCTTTTCTACAGTTCTGAGGAACTGCACAAGATCAGATTCGAACACACGATGGGGCCTTGCTGAAGGCTGAGATAAAAAAACCCTCTGGAGCGGAGAAACAAGACTGGGAATAGTTTGTAATACGCAGTGAGCAGCCTGGCTTTGCAGAACTGGATCGGTGTGCGCTGCGTAAGCTGCTAAGTGCTCCATTTTTAAATGCCTCCACAACTGGGACGCGTGATGGAGGTACCTGCTCCCTTGCTTTTCACACACCTAATAACCACCACGGACTAATCTAATGGTAGCAAGCAACAGCTGAATACCTGAAACTGAAGAGCCTGTTTCCTGTTGCTACTTACGTATCAGGAAGAGATTATAAATTAAAACAAAGAACCTCAGTTCACCTTCATTGTCCTCTGATGATTGTCAGCAATTAAGTTAATCTGTTAAAGTCCTGCTGCATTTTGGTCTCCCATCCACGCAGCAGTAAGCGGCCGGCAGTAGTGCTGGGGATGAGCGCCTGCCGGCAAAGCAGATTTGCAAGAACAACCACAGGTATCGGGTTAGATCATGCAGTGGAACATGAAATAGGTTCTGTTAAAAGCCATCTAAATCCACACAATCTACTGTAAATATATGGAGGATTTTATTTACTTAATTATGAAATAAATTTAGATAAGCTACACATCTATTACTGTTAGTCACTATAAAAACACAGTGATTTGTCCAGACAAGGCTGATGCGAGCCTCGTGGTTATACTCATAGTTTTGTGGCATTCAAACTTCCCTCCTTCGAGTCCTTGACTTTCTTGTTGTTTTAAACAGATTTTTCAAAGACAATGCTTACCGAAATACAACTAAGTCCAGATGAATTTGACTACTTTCAAGTTGGAGTAGATTCTGAAGTGACGTTTTGCCTTAAAGAACTGAGGGTAAAGTAAGAATTTGTCTTGAAAATAAAAGGTTTCCTGTTAATTTGCGTGACTTGCCCAGGCGCTGCAACGCAGTCCCTGCAGCACAGCCCCTGCCGGGCCGCCCGACCAGCCGCAGTCTCACCAGCTGGCTGAGGGGTAGCTTCACAACCCGGGATCGTGAGAACGCTGCGGCGTCCCGCACAGTAGCCTTCGAACGGCAAGTGAAACGTTGTGACACAACAAAAATGTGGTTTCAGTGCTGGGCAGACAGACTATGCCTGTGCTGGAGGAGGCATCGTGGCACGGACGTTGTTCCACACGCAGAAGCTGCGGTGGCAACGCATCAGGCAGGGCAGGGAAGGCAAGAAACGCGTTCTAGAAGCAGCCGGCTGTTACCCTCTGCCTGCCAGTGCACAACAGCTGGGATAAACTGACATTCTAATACTGAGCTTCAGTTTTCAAAACAGCGCTTAACCACCCTCCCCTTCTTCGCAGGGACTGCTAGCATTTTCAGAAGCTGCCAGCGTTCCTGTCTCAATCCATTTTGACGCATCTGGAAAGTACGTTTTGGCACCTACCTGTTTGGAACTGCTGCAGCTGCGGCTCTGCCGTCGGGTTTGTCTGAGGGTTATGCAATGACTGTTTGACCGGAGCAGTAGGACAGATTCTCGTCCCGTACCGAATGGTGTAGTTCTGATCTGCGGTACAGGGCGAAGAAGTTTGTCGTTAGGCATAAAGCACTGAACGCAGGCACCGGTATTACTGAGCTGACTAATGAGCGCCTGGACACTTCATGTTCTCAGTCTAATGCATGCAATGATTTTATTTATCAGGCTAAATAACACATTTTTTGTTTAAAATATAATTTTAACAGTTACATATTTAAAACTATAATTTGACTAAGTATAACTTTGTATAGCACTTGCTCATTGGTGCATTTAGATCTGTAACAGGAAGCCATCTCACATTCTCCAGCAGCAAATAGGTGAGATTTTCAGCGGCAGCGCTTTTCAGTCTGCCTGTGTAGAGTTGCATGAGCTGCATTTCCTCCCGCAACCTGTTTAATTATGCATGCTGAGTCTCTAATGTGTGTGCTTAGACCAATTGCTTTCAGCATTGAAGACATGGTGCTGGAAGCCAGCTTTATTTTGGCTACCTTGTCTGCCGCGGAAGAGGAGCCGGCGTCCCCGCAGCCTCCCTGCTTCTCCCCGTGGCAGGACAGGTAACAGGGCTGCAGGGTGGCTGAGGGAGGCAGGCTGATCAAAGTTTAACGTTTCCCAGCCAGGTCAGAGTTAAGATGGCGAGGAAGCGATCTGCTTATTCGTGCAGGGTGTTGGTAAGCGTTGAACCGATCCTGGAGCCCTCATTTGTAGGAAAACTGTGAAGGAGACAGGTTCAGAACAAACAGCTCAGCATCGAGCACAGCAATAGAAATCAGTGCGACAGAGAGCACGCCATGCTCGCTTCTGCTTTCCTGTATCTCCACGGGGCTCTGCTGCAGTAGGAGGGGAAGGGCAGGGCCTTGCTGCGACTCTATCCTAAAGCCATAATGCTTTTCATTAACAGAAAGTAAGGACGTTCTAGCAAAACCACGTGAAAACCAGTTACTGACCTGACCCACTCTGTCCCACCCAGCTCGAAGACCTGGACGGGTGACTCTGAGCAACCCCCTGCGGGTGGAGGGAGCCGTGCAGCAGCGGTTGCCTCCAGAAAGCCCCAGGGGAACAGAAACGCGCTGAACAGAGGGTCAGCGAAACCTGCGAGTCCTTCAGCAAAACACAAGATGAGAAATATTCCCAGAGTCACAGAGAGGGAGACAACGGGCGTGGAAGGAACGGCCGAGGCAGAGCAGCACGCAGGGCTGGAAGGAGAGGCAACCGCGTCTCGGTGCCAGCAGGTAAGGGGGCTCCACAGCGTCTTTACAGCGACCTTGAGCTGAAAGCTCCCCATCGGTGCTGCGTGGGCTGTTCCACTGGAACCAGCTTTCACCGCAGCACGGCTGACAACTGCCACTACCACACTGAAGCGTGACGCTGGCAGGATCCACAGGTGGGGGGTATTTTGCGAGGGAGCACTGTAGACTGAGCAAAACTTTAAAGTGTGCTTCTACAGTGGCAAAAGCTACAGAAATAATTAACCCAAGTGGGTATCGTGTGCAGTTGCTAACTTCTACAAACATTGCATTTTCCAGTTTAATTCCTTGTTTTTTGGAGCAGTTTCTTGTAAGGAGAAGGATGCCATCGGTCACACCCTCTGTAGTTTAGCAACGGCTAGCGACAGCGAGGAGGATTTTGGCCATGTGCAGAGCTCCCAGGTTCCCTAGGGCCACGGAGCGTTTGAGCCCGAGCGAAGGCTCCCGGCAGTCACCTTGAAAGACAGAAGTGCATTTGAGGTGGTAATTGTGGGGCTGGTTGTAGTCTTAGAAGTTTAACTGCAGTTCTTCAGCAAGTTAGAACCCGATGGAAAGTGTTTGTATTCTGCGCTTGTGCGGTGAAGTGCGTTTCACCAGTGCCTGCCGAGACTCTGCAAAGTGGGAATCCTACTCAAAATGGTGCCCGTTTTTTTTCACAAGACTGATAAGGGGAAGGCCAGAACTTGATGTGTTTTATCAGTTATTTGTCAAGTCCTGGGCCAGTTCCTGCTGGGCCAGCGCAGGTGAAGCGTTTATTTGCTGTTTGCTACCGCCAGCACGCGTCATTCCAGCACTGAGGCACTCTCGCAATGCAATACGAATCCCGCTCACCGAGGACAAGCTGGAGACGCGGCGTCACGCGTTGTGCAGGCACGCTGCTTCGGGGGTTCAGCTCGCCAGGACCTTCTCACGGGAGAATTCAAACTCTGTTATCACTTCAGGCAAAGTTAGCTGCTGCTGTAGAGTTAGGAGTGCTGGAAAATAAACCTATCCGCAAACACCTTCCTGCTGCAGCACAGCTGGGGGGTTTACAGCAACGCTGTGGAGCTAGCGCGTAACTGAAGAACCGGAGCTGTCATAGAAATGCATTTAAAAAATAAAAGTGGTGCCTGACAGCAGGCGTCGGAGGGGTGTTTGTGTTTCAGGCTCGCACTCTTCTCTGCCCTCTCCCTGCCTCTCCCTTCAACGCGGGCGCAAGCAGGAGCCCAGCGCGCTCTGGGGCCTGCGCATCTCTGCACCACCAGTGACATCACCGCGTTAACAAACAGAGGGGGTGAAGTCAACTTTAAATAACACATTTTAGTATAAATACTATATTTATTAAATATCTTTACAATTCATTTAAATGTATTTACAGTACTATTCCTGCATAAGTTATACCTCAGACATGAAATTCACATAATTGCCTCTTAGGTAAGCATAGGTGATAGTCTCATTTAACAACAACAACAAAGCATCCTCATTAGACACAGACTCCGATTTGCTTCGTTATTTCAGCTATCTTTGCAAGAAACTACTCCATACAGTCAGTTGCTACACAGCCGCAGCCTGGTTTTTCCCCCTGGAGACGGGATGTCCGTTCCCGAGAGACTGAGACCCCACCCCAGAATCCTTCCCACCTTTGCCAGACCCTCGCCTCTCCCTTCTCCTTCACTTGGCCGCAACTTTCTGGTCCCCAAAGCTGGGCTTCGGGTTGGTTTTTTCCCGGCCATACCTTCTTCGCAAACACAGCCAACGGGTGTTTAGAGGGGAACTGTATGCTGCAGGTCTCCCAAAGATAGCCGGGCAAGTAGCAACGAACCACAGTTTCTCCAATTCCCCGCGTCGCCGCCCTGTTTCACCCACAGCCCCAGTAACGCTGCTGCAGGAACTCCCACTCCCACCAGCCCCAGGACCTTGCGTGGTTCCTGGCGCGTAAACCTCCTCCTCCTCCAGCCCACTGCTCCCAAAGCACCGGCTCCCGGGAACACCCCCCGCAGCAGCCGCACGCCAGCCTGCGCGCCGCTCACGCATGCGTCCATTTGCCACATCACCTTTCCTGGGCCTTCTCTCGCCCACAGTCACAACCATCTAAACCCTAGGAAGTCTTACGGCTTCGTGCAGCGTTTGAAGTTATTTTGATAGTATGGGCCCTGTCATCTCCTCCAAAATTTTTTTTGTGCGCAGACAGCTTAAGTTCTTTGGAAGAAATTAGCCTTGATATGTTTAGAGTGCACATCTTAAAAACAAAACAAAAAAAAACCCAAAAACAATCAAGCATGTGATAAAAATATCAATTCTTTATAATACAGTATTGCTTTATAAACAGATGGAAAAGCTATAAGCTTTACTGGTCTTTGGTGTGTCCGGTGAGGGCTGAACTCATGATTTGTAACTCAACATCCAAATTTGTTCTTTAATGAAACAAAAATTACTCGGGATGCAATAGGAGGCAAAGGGCTTTGCCAATGCTGCTCGGCTGAGTGGCTCTGCCGGACAGGGGGGAGAGCGAGGGCTGGGGACGAGCGTGCTGGGAGTGAGGGGTCAGAGCGCAAGGCAGCCCAGGTCTGCAGGGGCGGCACTTCAGGGGAAGTCCAAGGGAAAGAAGAATTGATCCAATCTGCTCTAATCAAGAAGCGCGGCAGTAAATACTGGAGAATAAAATGTAAAGACACCCAGATTTGGGAGAGAAGCCCCCCCAAATGCTAGAAACAAAGCCCTGTACTGCAGCGGGAATACATTCCTCCTAGCGAGACAGCTAATGCAGCTTGTTCAATTTTAAAAAACAACAAAGACTGACAAGTTGTGCAAAGTTCTCCACCACTCACTGTCCCACGGATGGCAAAGCTAATTAATTTTTTTTTTCTTCATTAACATAATCCTCCCCATACCCTCACCAAAAGGATATTTTGGTCAAGTTAGGGTAGTTAAGGCATTTTGACAAGGAATTACAAGGTGATTTAAAATAGATCGCTAACATTATGCCAATTTAGGAATAGCAGATAAATTACCAAAGAGCCTCCAAATTAATCACTTATTATAACTGAAATGCCTGTTACAAGCATGATGCATTGAAATATAGTAAAATGACATGTACATGGTACATGTTAAATGATCTTAAATAAAAGCTTGACATAGTTACGCAAATATACAGTACAAGTCCACAAAAATTCTTTAAACAAGTTGAGGTAACCTCAAACTTCAACAGTTTTAATACAATAAACCAGGTAGTAAAAATCTCCTTTCGAGAGCAGGTAAGATTACTTACTGACCAAGTTTAACTGCACTCACCTAAACAGAAACATTACCCGACTTTTTATATATATAAAAACATGGCTTTAATTTATTTCTACATACTTTTCTACCAGCAAAAAAGTTAATGAAAAACTGACCAAAAAATATATATATATATCTTTACAGCTATCGGCTTTTTGTCTGAACCTCAGGAAAGAAAAAGGAAAGCTTGCTGGAAGAGGGGGAACAAGCGTGAGCTACGGTAATCCGAAAGGAAATGTAATATTGCAGAGTGGCTGTTAGATAACTGTAAACATCATTAAGGTTCATTCCGCAAACCCCAAACTTGCGTTACTGAAATGTAAGTTTTGCTGATTATTCATTAATAGTTTCCGTACTCACTGCTGCTGCCACAGCATCAGCGGAGGTGCTCGCAGAGGATCAAGTGGACTTACACTGGTGCAGCATACTCTGTTCTACGCAAGCGAGAATGGCAATTATTAACACAAATTATGCTTCGTTAACAATGGAATTATCTACCAGAAGTGAAGAGGTTCGGCGCTGAGGATGAGCTGTTCTTTGTGCAACCTCCCACTGCAGCATTTACGCCACGTCATCCCGCGCTGGTGGGACGGGTTAAAATGCTGACAGGACCTCAACTTTGGCCAGCTCGGCTTTCTGAGACTGAGTTCAAATTTCTGTGCTGTTTGTTTTTTTTTTTTTTTTTAAAAAAAATAAAATTATCCACAGCCAGAACATCCAGATACCAGGCCCATTACAGACGAATGATCTGCAGAACTTTTAAGATCACAGTTAAGCACCTGAAATCACAAAACACATTTGCATCCATGTAACTTGAACTAAGTATATGTTTTTTGAAATTCCGTACTAGAAAAGGCTCCTAGGCTGACACCACGCATGGCAAGAGCAGAGTGTTTACAGCAGTCACAAACCTCCTGAAAACCGGAGCTTAGAGACACGAAACCTCGGCTACCACTGTAACAAGACTATGCTTATGAAACTGTGTTCTGTAACAGACCCTTAATGAACAGCGAATGTTCCTAGCAAATAGAGTAATACGCCCTCCTGCAGAGGTTCTATCTACTGAGTCTAGCTTGAAAGATGATAAACCAATTCTACTCCTTTGAAAGTCACATTCTGAGCGCAGTAACGATGTGGGATTGATCCCCCCCTTTTGAGGGCAATGCCTAAGCTCTGAAGGACATGCTTCGAGCCTTGAGCTTCTCCACTTCTTGCTGGCAGACGAAGACCAGTGTACTGCGAGAGTGGTTCTCAACCAGGACTTCGGCTGTGTCTCAAGACGGGCAACGAGCTCGAGAACCGGCTGCCGAGATCAGCTGCAAAGGAAGAAAGCGATCCTGCCAGCAGGAAACTGTCCGTGTGAAGCTAGGAGCTCGGGGACAGCGAGAAGGTCAGGAGCTGACCCTGCGGGCCCGTCAGTCTGTGTACTCGGCTACGATAGAAAGAAGGACGGTGATGTCATCTGGTTTTCCCCCTGCAACAGAAGGAAAATAAAACTATTTCGTCAAAACGCAGCGGGTCATCTTATCATCTGTGACACTGCCTGATGGAGAGCTCTCTGCAAAATCAGTTTAAATGTTCACAGACTGGTTTGTGCAGACATGGGAACGCTGCTTTCTCCACCTCCTTCCCAACACGCAACTGAGGGTGGCAATGACATCACCACAGCAAAGCAGCGCTCTCCTTTTCGCTATAGCGAGATCGCAAACTACTAAAAGGAGTACAGAACCTTGAACAGAGCTGTTAGCCGGAAGAGCAGAAAGCCTGTTTTCCAGCAGGCTATTTATCTATTTAATAAATACACAAACTCCCTGACATTGATTTGTTACGAGCACAGAGCAAGAAAGTCACCGTCTTTTCAGGAATTTCTAGTGTAAATCAAACACCTCTTTGGCATTGCCTCCAGCACTGGATTACTGCGTATCTTTCTAACAGCTGCTTCACATTTTTAATAGTCACCTCAAACCTCGACAGCTAGAGCAAAACACTCAAGCCCTAATGCAACAGCTCGGAGGAGAGGTACTTTGTCATGTGGGAAGTCAAACCAGTCCTCTGGACTTGGGGGAGCGGCGGTTTCACTGCTGAATGATTGAGCTTTGTTGCAACACGGAGCCCACGCGTTACAGCTATTGTCTCTGCCTTTAGGAAAGACACTC